ATGAGGTAGAATGGTCATTGAATACAACAGTGAGATTCAAAAGTAGTTGGAGTATTGGATATTATTTGAGGAGAGTCCCAATTTTCCTTGGAGTGAGCGCTGCCTTGCAACGAGGCATGGTGAACAAAGGTAACTGAGCCAGCGTTCCCACAATGCTATGTGGGCGCTTAGAATTTTTGTTTATGGCACACACACACCACGCATCAATACTTACCAAGATATGGAGGTGTGAAGTTGACAGAAAATGACTGGCATACGGCAACATCGCCAACTGCCGGTCACCCGGTAATAGTTCTTTTTTTTTTTTTGTACTTTTTTCTATTTTTTTTATTTTTTTTTTTCAATTATCTTTTGTGGCCTGTGAGACCAGTATGAGCACTGTTTTGTGATTTTTTTTCTTTCTATATTACACAATAATTGCACAAACACTGTTGTCACTATATTGTTTACAAAACTTGTTTACACAAACGAACAATATAAAATGCTGTTTATTACTATTTTTCTATATTTTGTATACACATATACAGTCACAGGACATGTTTCTGGAAGTTCTGCAGCCTGTGGAAGTCTTTGAAAGATGGTGTCATGTACAATGGTGTTTTACACTCCTCACACATAAAACGGGTGTCTCTGCGTTGTTGTGGGCATTTTTTGTATGTGCACAGATGTAACACCTCTTCTGAGCCTTTTTCTGGAAAGCAGTAGCAGGCAATTTTGTTAGGAAGTGATCACCATGCTTCAGATGAGAAGGTAATTGTTGATAATTTCATGGGCGGTTTTCTAATGTGAGTGTTTTTCCTTGGTACTTGATTATTATTTGTCTGATGACAGACAAACAAAATTTGCCATATAGTGGTTTGTTTCTGGTCCTCATCTTATACATATTATAAGCATTGAGCATGGAAATGTCCAGAGTATGGAAAAAGAGTTTTATGTACCACTTATAACCCTTGTGAACACAATCAGCAAACCCAATCTGCATGTCACATTTGTCCACTAAATGCATATTGAGGCTGTAGTCAATCACAGCTGCAGGTTGTAGAATGGGTTCATTGCTCTCTCTATGCTGCCTGCCAGTGTCTGCCATTTTGTTAGGGTGAACTGATGACAACAGTGTGACATCTCGTTTGTCATGCCACCTATATGCCATGATGTCATTGGCAGCAAACATCTGCACTTCACCTCTACAAGTGCCAGCGTCAAACCTGGGCATATGTTTACGATTTGCACGCACTGTGCCACTCACATCTGTCATGTTCACTCGCAAGAAATCACTGAGTAAGGGGCTTGTGTACCAGTTATCAGTATATAATATATGCCCCTTACCAAGATATGGTTCCATCATTGTTCTAACCACATCACCAGAGATACCCAGTAACTTCCTGGTATCTCGCAATGTATTACTTCCAGTGTATACAGTTATATCCTATACAAGACCACTGTAGCAATCACAAAGCACAAACAACTTTATACCAAAGCATTTCCTCTTGCTTGGTATGTATTGCTTTAATGAGAGTCTTCCTTTGGACAGAATCAAAGACTTATCACTAACAAGCTTCCTGAAGGGATAAAAATACATATTGAATTTCTCTTTCAGATACACAAACACATTCCTAATCTTATAACCTGTCGTTTCTGTCAGGCCTGGTTTTGTCTAAGAAGTGAAGCATACATAATAGTAGAACAAATCGATTCACTCCAATTATATCACTGAAACCTGGGGTTGCAATCAGGTGGTCTGTTGACCAGTATGATTTCACACTGTGCTTATACACATGTGGCATAAGCATTATTGTGGCAAACAAAAGATACGTCTCAGCCACAGTTGTCTCCTTTCATTTGTGTAGGCGTGAGTTTGGTGAAAGTATTGTGTTTGTCATGGTGTACTCGAAGTATCTGTTGCTTTCTCTGACAACAATTTACATCAGGGGTTCGTCAAAGAACAACTCGAAACATTCCAGTTCAGTGGCATTGTTCCCAAGTGTACAAGATGGCCGTATTCCACTTTGGCTTTTATCAAACTGTTGGGGATTTGGAACAAAATTGGCAGCTTCCTACCAATCCCAGGTGCGGTCTGCTGGTGGGTACTGGATATTGACAGGTGGTTGTGGTTGTGGAGGTTGTGGTTGTGGAAGTTGTGGTTGTGGAAGTTGTGGTTGTGGATGCTGGTGTGGTGGGTGGGTGGGGGATGGTGGCCTTTGTTGTAGATCAGCTGAGGCAGCAGCATGGGTGGCAGCATGGCCCACTGCTGCTGCCTCACGGCTGGCACCACCACTACCACCATCAGATGCATGCCCATTTTCCATCCCAATTGCAACAATATCATCTTCATTTTCACTATCTGTTCCTGTTGTACGGGATGTACTCCGAGATGTACTCCTACCCCTTGGAATAGCATATGGCACACTACCAGAGTGCATATACCGTCGTATATACTGACACTTCACTGGAGAATATTCCACTTCACTATCGCTACTGGAACTGTTTTCAAGAGCTTGTAGTTCATATTCACTATCAGTATCATCACCATTGCTCACATCTGAGTCCTGGATATGGGAAAATAAGAGTTTCCTCTTTCGTCCTGGTACAACTGAACATGAACAAGATGGCCCAACACCAGAAGTGGAAGGTTGAGGGTCATCTGGGTTTTCCTCGCTATTACCGGTATTATGGTCATTAGTTTCGGTCACTACCTCATCTAAACCTTGAAACTCATCTTCACTGGTACTTCAGTCTGTATTAGAACTGTCACTGGGGAACAAAAGTGTCCCAGTTCACTGAGGAGTGAGGAGTTTCTTACCGCGAGGCATGGTGAGCAAGGTGTACTAAAATAGTGTTCCCACAATGCGCCACTAGGTCCCAGAATTTTTTCCTACTGTGCACACTCGCCATGCAGACCCATTCTCTCACATCTAGGCCTACCAGCTGTTTCCCGCTTAACCCTTAAACTGTCCAAACAAATTTACGTTCACATGTGTAGTGCTCCAAAAGTAGATCTACGTTTTTTTTACATATTTTCAAATATAACAAAAAAAGTAGTTGAAAGTTTTTTACACATTTTCAAATGTAAATAAAAGAAAAGATCTCCTTTTTTTACATACTTTCAAATGCTGAAAAAACGTAGATCTACGTTTGGACGGTTTAAGGGTTAATTTGAAGCTACTAGAATTTATGTGTACTAGTACGGCACCAACCCTGGTGCACAAGCCGTACTAGTACGGCACCAACCCTGAAAGGGTTAATGCAGTTAGGGTAGTAAATGATGGTTAAAGAGAGTGGAATAGAAATGTCTTTTTTTGTTTTTTTTCTAGGGAATTGTCTGAATTTTACACTTAATTCTTTTCTTGGTATGTCAAGCATTACTAGTATTCATCTTAGGGACCATGGTTGGCATCCATGTGTTAAAACTGAAGACGGAATCAAAAGTCGTTGTCACCCACAATTAATGCAGTATGGATACAATAAACAAAATAAGTGACCTAATGGATTGGATTGAGGTTACAGTTTAATCTTATTTTATATGTTTACATTAAACATTATAATTCTCAAATAAGTAATACTTAGGCTGATGAAATGATTGAGAATTTATTAAATATATCATGCACATGGACTTATGGCATGGCATATTTTTCCCTAAATTTATAGTGTGCTATACGATCATTGTCTGTGCTGCCTGAAATTGGGTCACAAAATTTCAGTTGTATTGCATTGATAAATCATTGCTGTATAACATGTTATTTGAGTATCATCTGTGTATATGTCACAGAAGGTATTTGCTCATTTTGGTACAAACCCTACTACTACAAGGAGAATTAATAAATACCTACCTTAGTAAAAGCACTTTCTACCTAAAAAAAAAAAAAAAAAAACATGAGCAAAGACACATTATCTTTATTCCATGATGGTCAAGAAAAGAGTGAATGCAGGAGAGGTGATTTGGTGGGTCAGCAGGCGGCTGCCACATTCCCTCACTAACCAGATTCACAATAATATGGAAATAATAGATTCTATGGCTAAGCTTTACAATTAAGGAGGCTAAGTATTAATATAATTGCATACTTTTATCCAGCTATTTATAGTTGAATTGGCCACTTTCTCAGTGTATATGAAATATGTTAACAATTGAGATGCACTAACATCACAACAATAGCATATACACTCAGCTGAGATGAACATTATAGATAAGATAATACATCCATCCTTGGAAACTGGTAATGATAAAACTATCTTAAAGTAATGAATTTATACCACAGACTATTTCTGTATTTGCTAGGAGGAAGAGAGAGATATTAACCAGTGCATGTAACATAAACGACTATTAAAAATCTTAAAATATAAACAAATGCCATGCACCCATCCATTTTAATCCTGTGTCACAGTCACTGAATATTTGATTTACAAGAATTTTTTTATAAAAAACTGAACTGTGTGCTAGTCAATTTTTCCTTCTCCACATGTTTTATCCACTTTTCTCTATTAGCTTTTTCCAGCAATAACTCATCAATTGTCAGCAATAGAAGTGATTAGCTCAGTGAATTCTCTCACCTGTAAAATATTGGCATTGTGTGTACTATTTTCTCTTTGTCTGCCACTTTACTCTCATGTAGTGAAATATCAGAGACTTCCTGCTGTGTCTGAGTTCTGAGGCTTGAAACTGTACAGGGTGACTTACCAACTTATGATTCTATCATTTGATATGAATGCCATGTTGAAGGTCTGATGACACCAGGAGGTTGGCCTCAGTCAACCTGTAACTAAGTATGAGGCTTTGCTCATGTCCCAGACAAAGACTTTTCTTGCAGTGTTCCTGAGCAGAGGAAGTCTTTAGCAGTTCTGTAAAACTTCCCTTCGTATAACTGAGTTCTGGGACATTAGACACCTATTTCCATGTGACAGCTACCTCCTCATGTTGTGTACCATTAATACAGTTTTAAGTGACTCACCAGGGCCCCACTGCAGAAAATATGTTTTGAAGACATCATAAATGCATTTCTGGGTCAGTAGCCTGGTGGCCAATGGAGATCCTCCTCCTCCACAGGCTGTTTTTACCTGGTTCTTCCTGGCTTGTCAGCGGTGAGACCAACTGCGAAAGGTGAGTGGATGCAACGTTCAAGCTTCAGCTTGCACAGCGGAGGCACGAACATCTATTATTGAGTGAATTAGTGCACAAGAGTCCTTACTAGGCCTAGAGAGGTGAGTAATAGGTATAGAGATGTACAGTTTGTCTTCCAGGTAGGCCACCAGGATACTGATGCAGAAATGCATTTTTCATGTTTTCAAAACTGTATTATTACACAGCTTGTGGGTTTTGTCAAGGAAAAATAACTTGCTTAGTAGGAAGAGCTGAAAAATAATAAGAATTGAAGAACAATGGACTATTTGATGATCTGACATATGATGATTAATTTCTGCAGTTGCAAACAAATGAAAACTTTTATATCTTACTGATATGACAGCTCATAAGCAGGTGACACACACTGCTCAGCAATCATTTATATTCAGGCCTAAGTTAATGATTCACTCAGAATCCATAGTCATTAATAGGCCCCTTTATAATTACTGCTAAAAAATTCAGCAGGGAAGAATTATCTCCTGTTCAACTTCATAGTATTACTAGATAGCAATATATATATTTATAAACGAACTAACCAAGAAGCACTTGGATCATGCAGATGGCAAGAGGTGTGCATCCTCGATGTATGTTTTGGTGAGCTAGAAAAATAAATGGTTGAACTTTTGACATTCAGTAATTGTGGCAAGAGAATCAAGAGTCGTATACTGTTTCAATACCAGTCAAGGGATAGTTGACATAATTAGACTACAGGAGGACAAGAGGAACGTCATCAAGATCATTACTGCTTCACTCATTGTTATACAAGTTTGATCCCAAGTGATTGGGAAAATAATAAACTTTGACCTATGAGTTCATGCCCTCTTAAGTGAATGTCAACCATTACTCTAAGAGAAGCCTAAAATCTCTGTGAGTATTTGGCTTCATCTTTTACTGAATTTTAAACCCAAAACTCATGTAATGAAACAAGACAGTACTGTGGCCCATTACTGAAAATCTTTCAGTCATGTAGCAGTTAAGCACATTTATTAAGTTGCAATAATTAGCTGTTGGTAATGTCCTTGAAACACACTCACACACCGAGGAACTGGGGATCATTTTTGCCTTGTGTGGAAATGTTGGCCATGTTTCCTTACACCTGCAGCCCCTGTTCACTTAGCAGTTACTAGGTACCTGGCTGTTAGTTAAATTGTTTTTGGTCACACCCTGGGAGAGGATTAAAGCACCCTAATGGAAATAAGACTGTCAGTCCCCAGTGACTCTTAGACTTTATTGGGTTATCCTGGATTGCTGTCCCTCCAGGTTAAAAATCCAAACAATTCATTTTCTTACTCTTCTTAACTGTTGCCATCAGTATGTTATTAATTAACCCTTTGACTGTCACAACCCCAAATCCTGAGGTGTCTCCTGGTGTTGCAAAATATTTGAAAAGAAAAAAAAGTATTTTTTTTCTTAAGAAATGGTAGAGAACCTTTTCCCGATGATAATGACACCAAAAGTATGAAATTTGAAGGAAAACTTATGGAATTACGCTCTCATGAAGTTAGTGACCTCGGTGACATTTACGCATCGGTGATTTCACCCGCTTTGAGGCCTATTTTTGATCAATTCCATTGTTCCAATCCACCAAACTCATAGCTATTTCTTTAGAACTTCATTTATTTTGTCGATTGAGTACAAGAAACTGCCCATTTACCGATTTCAACTACCCAGTTTGCATGAAATTGGCAATTTGGCCAATTTCATGCAAATTAAAAAATATGTCAATTTCAAAATAGGGTGCAGAATGAACAATGCAGACATTCCTTCCTGGCACTAAAATAACATTTTCTCTGTTCATCAGTCACGTCTCCAGGCCCCTGTTATAATCCTCTTGCTTTCTATTTTGAATTTTTATTCACACAGAAAATAGAAGATTTACTGTTATGCAGACTATTGCAATATTGTAATAATTGTGTAAATAACGTCAACCCATTCATGACTGCATATTAGAATGGCTAGTTTGACATTTATTGGACAATGACATCATTTGTTTACTCTTGAACATCGGCAAAAATCGAACATTTCTGCCACTTTGAGCTCCATTTCAAGATCCTTTTCATAGTAAAACCAGTCAAAATCACTTCTATTTCTATAATATGTTTTCCATTCTATCATATGAGACCAAGAAAACAAGAATACAACCATAAATACTATACGAAAATACACTTCAAAGTCTGTGTTTTAATCCAAGAACACGGTCGAAGTTTTTTTTCTCATTATGCACTGTATGCTGCAGGATTTTTTTATACTGTGCACACTGGCCATACAGACCCGTTCTCTCACATGTGGGCCTACCAGCTTTCTCCTGCTTGATTTGAAGCCACTAGAATTTTTGAGTATGTATACATCAAACACGTTGGCTCATAAGACGTGTATATACGACCAAAACAGTCAAAGGGTTAATTATTATCGTGTTTTTATGATTTTTAAAGTTATTAGGTCATGATTAATAACATTATTCTATGGCTGGTGTCAGCCATGGCCAGTTAGAAGGCTGAGATCTTTAACCCTTTCAGGGTTTTCAATGTACTAGTGCATCTTATGTGTCATGGTTATTGACATACTAATACGCATAAATTCTAGCTCCTTCAGATCAAGTGGGAAAAGGCTGGTAGGCCTAGATGTGAGAGAATGGGTCTGCGTGGTCAGTGTGCGCAGTTGGAAAAAAATCGGAGACCCAGTGGTTCATTGTGGGAATGCTATTTTAGTACACTTTATTCACCATGTGTCGCAGTAAGAAACACCTCACTCCTCGGTGAATTGGGACACTTTTGTTTGCCAGTGACAGTTCTAATACAGATGGAAGTGTCAGTGAAAATGAGTTTCAAGGTTTTGATAAGGTTGTGACCGAAGCTAGCGACCATAATACCGGTAATAGTGAGGAAAATCCAGATTACCTTCAGCCTTCAACCTCTGGTGCTGGGCCGTCTTGTTCACATTCAGTTGTACCAGAACAAAAGAGGAAATTCATATTTTCCCATATCCAGGACTCAGATGTGACCAATGGTGATGATAGTGATAGTGAATATGAACTCCAAGCTCTTGAAAACAGTTCCAGTTCCGAGAGTGAAGTGGAATATTCTCCAGCGAAGCATCAGTATATACGACACTATATGCACTTTGGTAGTGTGCCATCTGCTATTCCAAGGGGAAGGAGTACATCTCTGAGTACATCCCATGGCTGTGCAACAGGAACTGATAGTGAAAATGAAGATGATATTGTTGCAATTGGGATGGAAAATGTGCATGCATCTAGTGGTGGTAATGGTGGTGCCAAACGTGAGGCAGCAGCAGTGGGCCATGCTGCTACCCACGCCGCTGACTCGGCTGATCTACAACAACCACAACCACCTGTCAATATCTGGTACCCACCAGCAGACCACACCTGGGATTGGCAGGAAGCTGACAATTTTGTTCCCAATCCCCATCAGTTTGATGAAAGTCAAAGTGGAATACAGCCATATTGTACACTTGGGAACAATGCCACTGAACTAGAATGTTTCATGTTATTCTTTGACGAACCCCTGTTGGAAATTATTGTCAGGGAAAGCAACAGATACTTCGATTACACCATAGCAAACACAATACTTTCACCAAAATCATGCCTGCACCAGTGGAAGGAGACATCTGTGGCTGAGATGTATCTTTTGTTTGCCACAATGATACTTATGCCACATATGTATAAGCACACTGTGAAATCATACTGGTCAACAGACCGCCTGATTGCAACCCCAGGTTTCAGTGATATGATACGAGTGAATCGATTTGTGCTACTATTGTGTATGCTACACTTCTCAGACAAAACCGAGCCTGACAGAAACGACAGGTTATGTAAGATTAGGAAAATGTTTGTGTATCTGAAAGAGAAATTCAATATGTATTTTTATCCCTTCAGGAAGCTTGTTATTGATGAATTTTTGATTCTGTTCAAAGGTAGACTGTCGTTCAATCAGTATATACAAAGCAAGAGGAAACGCTTTGGTATAAAGTTTTATATTTTGTGACTGCTACAGTGGTCTCGTATTGGATATTATTGTGTACACAGGAAGTAATACATTGCAAGATACCAGGAAGTTATTGGGAATCTCTGGTGATGTGGTTAGAGCAATGATGGAACCACATCTTGGTAAGGGGCATATATTGTATACTGATAACTGGTACACAAGCCCCTTACTCAGTGATTTCTTGCGAGTGAACATGACAGATGTGTGTGGTACAGTGCTTGCAAATCGTAAGCATATGCCTAGGTTCGACGCTGGCACTCGTGGAGGTCAGGTGCAGGTGTTTGCTGCCAATGACATCATGGCATTTTGGTGGCATGACAAACGAGATGTCACACTGTTGTCATTAGTTCACCCTAACGAAATGACAGACACTGGCAGGTAAAATAAAGAGACCAATGAAACCATTCTAAAACCTGCAGCTGTGATGGACTACACCCTCAATATGAGTTCAGTGGACAAATGTGACATGCAGATTGGGTTTGCTGATTGTGTTCGCAAGAGTTATAAGTGGTACATAACACTCTTTTTTCCATTTTCTGGACATTTCCATGCTCAATGTTTATAATATGTATAAGATGAGGACCAGAAACAAACCACCATATGGCGAATTTTGTTTGTCTGTCATCAGACAAATAATATTCAAGTACCAATTAACAACACCTGCAATAGAAAACTGCCCACCAAATTATCAACAACTACCTTCTCGTCTGAGGCCTGGTGATCATTTCCTAACAAAACTGCCTGCTACTGCTTCCAAGAAAAAGGCTCAGAAGAGGTGTTCTGTCTGTGCACATACAAAAAATGCCCACAACAATGCAGAGTCACTTGTTTTATGTGTGAGGAGTGTAAAACACCACTGTGCATGACACCATGTTTCAAAGACTTCCACAGGGTGCAGCACTTCTAGGAGCATATCCAGTGATTCTGTATATATATATCTAATATATATTATATATATATATATATATATATATA